AAAAGTATATTTTTGCTTCTGATGAAAGTTCCTTGTAGTCCAGTGTATTTTTTTAAAGTAACAAACAGTTTTTATTGAAAATTATTGTATCAAGCCCTTTAAATTTTTATACACGTAAAAGTAAAGCAAAATATAACTTCTTTATTATTTTTATAATTTCTCCGTTTAAATTACAATATTAAATTATTGAATATCAATTTCATACCAAATTTAATAATTATGATTAGTATTTATTCATATATTATATTTTAAAATCAAAGAACTACTAATCAGGATATAATCAAAGAAATAAGAGTTGATGTTGCTTTTGGAATAATCCACCAATTTTTCTAAATGAAACATTATCTACAGATTTTCATCGAAGCGTTTCTTATGATAGTGATTTTAATTACAGTCAGATATCATCTATACTTGTCTCATCTATGCCTCGTCTACACTGTACCCCGACCCCACTGTGTTACAATTTTTTTTTAACTTATAGTACATAACATAAGCTTTAATTTAACATATGTTGGAAGGAAGCAGTATTTCTGGAACATTTTTAAAATCATAGTTTAAAACGTTTTACTTATGTTGAAAAATTGCTACTTTGAATGTATTCTCCGAACAGATTAAGGGTCAGGTTTTAAATAAAATTAATTTTAAATAAAAGGGACATGCTTAAGGTTTCTATATAAAAAAAATTAGTTTGATTCATTTTGAAAAAGTAATGGCAGTTTTGACATTCAAAAATGATAAAATTTAACAATATTAAAAATTGTAATTTTTTCGAGATTTCTCAAATTCACGGGGAACGAAGGTATATTTTTCAACTTTTAATAGAAATGCTTTCAACTACATACGATTTGTAATCTTCTGAAGTATTTTTGAAAGAAATCGGTCTAGTGAGAGCTGAGTAAAAGTGTGACCGACATAAAAAAAAAACACATCGTAGTAAAATTTATACCTTCTCAGCTTTGCATCGAAGCTAAAATATTAAAATTAAAGTTTCAAAAAATGAATTGAAATAATACATTATTAGGAAATATTAAATACAAATTATACTCATACTTATGATAATTTTGTAACATGATTTTTTATTTATTATAAGAGAATACAACAAAAACTAAAAATTTATATTTTATTTAATACATTCACTTTACACTGAATTAAAAACTGATGAAAACAAATTTTTCAAAAATTAAATTATTTTTTATCTTAATTATTTTACATTTTCATAAATCCAGTTTAAAATTGTCGAAATCACATTAACATATTCTATAAAAAAAATAAATAAATAATAATAAATTAGGTTAAAAGTGATCAAAAAATTTTTTTAAGACAAATAACAGTTTTACAGTAATGGACATAAAGCATTTGTGATAAATTTATGTAAACTATATAAGAACACATTTTAATTTTAGGAATCTTGAACGTGAAAAACATTTGGTTTGCGAATTTCATTTGTAATAATAAATAACTAGTGTCTACCATTTGAGTTTTAAATGAAAATAAATATTTTGAATTTTTTCTTAATATAGTAATTAATTTTTATGCTTAAAAAACCATTGTCACAAAGAAAAATATAATATATTATTTTATAGAGAACTTTTTTGATTATTTAAGTTTTTTTATAAATTTAAAAAAAAGTTGTTCAAAAAGTTGATTTTTACAGACTTAAATTTAACTTGTTTATGTTTATGAAAACTTTCCCACGATGTGTGGTTTGGAAAACTTTCCTAACCGTGAAAATTATCACGCATCTCACTATTGGACTGTTTTAAAATTATATTATTTTTAAAAATATATTAAAAAAATGTACTTCTTATACATTTAATTTGAATCAATATGCATCTTAATTTTGAACAAAAATTTTAGGCGTAGAAGAGGCTAAGATATAAGTCATAATATTGAACAAGTATTCGATTATTGTAACTAACCGCCGTTTTGACTAGTTGTGAAAGAAATATTAATCGCTAAAACGTGAAATAATGTAATAGCTTAACAATTTATAGTCTATAAATATTTTACAAATCCATAGATAATAAAAAAATGAATAGGGTCTTTGACTTGTTATAGATAGTTCACTGTAATAAGAAATACGCTGCGCAGTGTTTTACTGTCAGTAGAATTTATAGATTAGAGAATTCAAATGGATAAAAACCTAGTTTATTGGGACTATAATGAATATTACTAAACGCGGTATTTAAACGTAGTAATCCGGGTTTCTGTCAAAATTAAAATTAGAGCAACATTTAGTTGAATAATGACAATAAACAATGTGCGATTTAATTAAGCGTTAACCTTTAAAATAAATTATTTCAATCTTCCTTATATATTTTAGTATAAATTAAAAAAAAAATTTTTTTATAATATTTCGGTCCAAGAGCTGTTATTATTAGAAGTTTAAGAGAATTACGACAAAGTTATAGGGCGCAGACAAAGTGCAAGGCACACATATTTTGCGTACCACGAGAAAGGCATAACTGAGTTCAAGGTGCAGACGTGGTACAACATATAAGTACTTGAGTCAGGTTATGGAAAGAATTAAGGTAGGCGTCAAAAATGATCAAACTAAATCTTAACATAAGATTGCAAGTCGGACAGCGATAATTAAGTAATGAGAGTGATGTTTTGGCAATAAATCTTGACGCGCCAATTGTAGGGGGTTAATAACAATCTCATCTCACCACACTTAAAGACAATGACGGGCGGTCGCAACATTAAATAATATAGTTCAGCCATCCTGACAGTAGATCGACCTCGAAAAACAACAGTAAATTAATAGTATCACATAATAATGTTCACTTAATAGATATATAGTTACGAAGTATTTATTAAACGAGTAACACGTATGTTCCGCTTTACAGTGTCGAATTTGCGCGTATTGTTTAATAATCACTCAATAACGAAAAATGTTTTCGCTAACTACAGTAAAGTGCATCAACATTTATTTTGGTCAAATTGCCTGCGACGGCAAAAACGTGCGGCGTTTTTGTCAACAATGGACATGTATGATAAGATAATTATTAGTGATAAACTAGGCTGTAGCTCAGATGCTTCACGTAGTTCATTAACAAAATAAGTAAAAGAAATAGAAAAAAATTCATGAAAACTTGCACCAAAAATGTATAAACTACCTACAATAACTGCCAGTGGTGTTAAGAATATCAACAATTTAATTTCTAAAATAACTCGCAAAGAACCCATTGGTCATGAGCAACTGTTAAAAACTTTTGCTAACGGCGATAATAAAATTATGACTGGTGATGAACACAAGTTGAGACGATTTTAAAAGTACTTGAAAAAAATAAAATTCAGTATCACAGATATCAATTAAAAATAAAAAAAAAATTTTCGTATTGTAACCAGCGGATTACACCTGACATTGAAGTATCTGAAATTAAAAGAGCCTTAGCAGATAATGGTCATTATGCAAGTGATGTCACTAACATCCAAATTAGGAAAAAAATAAATCTAGTGACAAAAATAGTGAAAAAAACAATAATAAAATTACCTTTATTTTTTGTAGACTTGATCCTCGAGATAACAATAAAGATATATACGACTTAAATAGTTTATGTAATCATAAAATAAAAGTAACTCCTCCGAAGAGGAAAAAGGTGTGCCACAGTGTAAAAACTGCCAATCCTTTGGACATACAAGCAACAAATGTCAAAGTCATTAATAACATACTCATTGGGGATCAAGAATTATCACCCCTAAAAGACATGCACTATTAAAATCAGCTAATTACAACAAAGCTGGGTTTGTTTCTACTAGAAAACAAACATTCAACTATAGACCAAATTCATTGTGTAACAAACGTAATAAGAGTAACGCGTTTGAAGAAAAAAATTATTGTTGCGGAGTATTCCTTGACATAACCCAGGCTTTTGATAAATTCTGGCATAAAGGCTTGCTTAAATTTGCGTGAACAATTACCAAACTCATGGTGTACAGTACTCGAGTCCTATTTGACTGAAAGACAGTTTCGCGTCATACATGACAGAGCTTTAACTAATTGGAAAAATATAGCAGCCGGAGTTCCACAAGGTAGTGTATTGGGCCTTATATTGTATCTACTTCACACGGCCGACATTCTGACCAACATAAATTCAACAACCGCTATGTTTGCAGATGATACTGCAAAATTAAGAATAACAAAAATCAACAGGTAGCTACTGATCAGATTCAAATAAACTTAATCAACATTTCTACGTGGTTGAAACGTTGGAAGATGTGGATTAACAATGAAAAGTCAGTGCACGTAAATTTCACGTTAAGTGAAACATGTGACATTCCAATATTTCTAAAGCAACAAATAATCCCACAGAGAGATTCAGCTAAATCCTGGGAATGCACCTTGACAGATCGATATAAATGATGTAATTGATCGAGATATGATGTTACCAACCGTAGCAGATGAAGTCACTCGGTTTGCACGTAAGCATATAATGAGTTTGGAAAACCATAAAATTAAGCGGCAATTCAACTATTGGACAATTCCAATGACCTAAGACGTTTAAAACGCGTCAAGCCATATGACTTTATAAATATTTATTTTACAATTTTAATATTATTCATTTTTATTATTTATTATTTATCATTTTCATTTATAAATTTTTGAGATTTTAATTTGTTAGTAAATGGCATATGAATTCTTAGTATAACTTTATTTGTTTATTAAATATAAACATTTAAAGTTTCAAATTTTTAAGTTAATATACATGTATAATACATAAGGGTTTACAAATACAGGTAGCTAATTGTTTTTTTATGATGTTGCTATCACAATCACTGACTGTGAGTGTTTATTGTAAATTATTACTATCAATAGATATACTTTCTGTATTACCAATTAGTGTATTTATAAACTCACAACAATGTGCCTTACTACCATAGATAAGAACAATGCTGTGTACCTGCTAATATCGATCTCATAAAAAAACCAATTAGCTACCCGTATTTGTAAACCCTTATGTATAATACATGTATATTAACTCAAAAATTTGAAACTTTAAATGTTTATATCTAATAAACAAATAATGTTTTTGTAAAAATTCAAATGCCATTTACTATTAAATTAAAAACTCAAACATTTTATTAAATTAAAATCATGTGTTTCTATTTAAAAAAACAAAGTTGACGCTCTAACCAGGCATAAGGGATGAACTTAAAAAGTACATTATAGTTAATAATTCAAGAATAATTTGTAACTAAAGATAATCAAAAAAAAAAAAATGTGTTAAATTATTGTTATTCTGTAAGTAATTGAGTGGGTTATGATAATAAAATCACCTTGAACATGATCACTAAATTCACCAAAAAAATAGCTTAACCTGATTTTTTAGTTTAGTTACAATCAATGGAACCGAGTTTTAGTCATTAAATCCCCCCCCTCCATGTAAAAAATAGTTCCGGAGTCCCTGTTTGTGTACAGTTGCATATTTAAGGGAGAGCGTTAGGAGCAATCATCCCCTTAAATATGCGCTATCAATATTATTTTTTAAATGTAATATTTATAAAATATGGGTAAAAAGAACCTTATTTGTTTATGAATTTGACTTTTAGCAAAAAAATTTTTTGTTTCCAAAAGTAAAAAAATTAAGTCGCTCAGCTAAAATGAATTTTAAATATGCCCCGGTTACGTTTATTAAATTATTATAATAACAATCGTGTTTAAATTGTAATTTTTTGAGTGGGTGTATATTAATAGTCCGGATAGATTTATAAAATTACTATTAATTTAGACAACGTATCTCTTACCATCTTCTGCAAGTCCTTTATCTGGTTGTGATTTTGCGAAATTTTGGACAAACCAATCACAAATTTCAGGAGTAATACCCTTGGCAACATTAGGTAAGTGTTTTTTTATGTATACACACAATATTTTGGCATTCATGAAGCCTCCTGGAAAATAGTTTTCATTTACTGATTGTTTATGTTCATGATTGACGTCACCTTCACTGACTTCTCTGTTGTTGTATTCTACAATATTTGTTGGAACTAAAAATTATTTTAAGCTTTAAATTTCAATTTTGAATAATTATTATTAGATAACACTTTTAATTTTAATACAAAATGATTGAATTTGGGTGAGATACTCAATTTCTCAGAAACTATTGAAAATTTTAAATTTTCGTAAAGAGAAAATTATTTGGTTTAAAACTTACAATAATATACAGTAAAATAAATTTTTTCATCTCATTAACGATAAAAAAAACTTAACTTTAATTTTTGTAAATAGGCACACCCACTTTTAACTTTATAATGTGATAAAAAAAAAGTAATTACTAACAAATATTGTCTTATAATTATTTTTTTATTCGATCAATTGTTCATCTGTTGCTGTAACAGATGAACAATTGACATGTTACAAGAGTCATTTTACAAGTACCACAAATTGAAAAAGAATATCACTCATCACGGAGGAAGTAATTTTTATTAATATATATTTTAATAATTCTCGCAGTCTTATTGTGATTTAAAAAGACTCTGATTTGGCCTGACAACAAATGTTTTTTATTCCATAGGCTCCAAAAACAATACATATATTTTACTTATGATTTTTTACTCTTAAAACTAACTTATCAAATTTGTTTTTGTTTAATACAAAATATTATTGATACATCACTATTATCGTTTTCATTTTAAATATTTGTAATAATACTTTTAAATAATAACTCAAAATACTCAAATAGAAAGTATAAAAACAAACCGTAGACTAAATTTGTTGTNTAATAACTCAAAATACTCAAATAGAAAGTATAAAAACAAACCGTAGACTAAATTTGTTGTCAATATTACAAATAATCAATGGAGTTTAAATGTTTGTATCATATTCTTGACTTTTGTAAGTTTTATTTCGTCCATCGAGCATCAAATGTGATTATAGGTAGATTTTCAGAAGATACTTAAGTATCACTTAAATACCATAATATAATACTATAATATAATTATAGATATAGGTGTTTGTGTATGTGTGTCAGAGCGTAGAAATAGATTAAAAATGAACTTAATTGAAATGTATAGCTGAAATCACTAAAATTGATTTAAATCCAAAGACAATATTCCAGGGAATTAATTTCAATTGATTTTAGATAATTTTTTTTAAATATTTAATCTGTAAAACGATTTTTTTGTAAATTTATTATTGATACTATTTCACTTTGAGCTATCGTGTATATAAAAAATCGGATGTAGTTGGCCTTATCTCAAAATTTTTTTTTCAAACTAATATCAGACCAGATATTTTTCCAAAAACCTACTTACAAATTCCATATAATTCTAATATGTTGCCTTGGATTTAGATTTACCAATTCATTTAAAACTGTGTATTTACTCTATTATGGATACGCTCTTTAATATGAACTATAAATTGTATAAATACACAGGTAATTTTTTTATCATAACCCAATCAATTGAAAAAAACAAAGTATATTATAATTAATTCTTTTCAAATTATTATTGATTTTGATTTTTAATATGTTAAAAGTAATCATATTTAACCTACTTTTATTTGTCCATTAAAGTGAAAGTTTTAATAAAAAAAAAAAATTATTACCATAACTTTTAGCTCAACTTGCAAGATGAAATTGTAATCATTAAATAGAAAAAAATGGTATTGTTAAGATTAATATGCAGTCGGGAAATTTTATAACTACTATTTACAGTAAATTTTGATTTCATCTATTGTTAAATTCAGGTGAAACTAAAAATCATTTTTTTTAGCTTCGATGCNTTTTCAAATTATTACTGATTTGATTTTTAATATGTTAAAAATAATCAGTCCAAATTTTCATTTTTAACCTATTTTTTTGGTACTTTAAAGTTGATGAAAAATTTTTGATAAAGATTTATGAAATTTTATAGTAAAAAAAATTGAATATATTACCATATCTTTTAGCTCAATTACAAGTTTAAAATTGACATCTAGGCCAGTCAACAAAGGAAAAATTGCGGAAAAAATTCCCAACTAAATTTTGTTTTTTTAAAATTTAAATTAAAATATTTATAATAACATACTAATAGTCCTCATCGATTGGAATTGAGCTTTTTTTTTTACAGCCTCACAAAAGTTAAAAAATATGAGCTTTTTAATTTTCTCAAATATTATTTAACTTACAAAAACTAGTATCGTACAAAAGTTGTTTAAAAGACAATTATAAATAAAAACCCAGCACAGGGGGGTCGCGGCACAGTGGTGACGTGGCATAGATGGATCAAGTATAATGATATCTGACAGTGATTAAAATCACTATCAAAAAAAAACGCTTCGATGCAAATCTTTAGATAGTGTTTAATTTTAAAAAATTGGTGGATTATTCCAAAAGCTACATGATCTGCTAGTTCATTATTAATATCCTTATTAAGATAAAGTATGTCGAATGAAAAAGGGATTATTAAAAAATATTATTTCCTATAAAAAAATAATGTTGATCCATACACTTTTAAATATGTCATAGCATTATAAAGTTAAAAATTTAAAAAATAAAATCGAGAATTTTCACATAAAAATAGCATTTGGTAGCCATTTTCACCGTGAAGATAGAATAAAGTCCGAAATTTTTTTTTTACATAATAAAGTAGATTACATTAGCTTTAATTTAAGATATATATAAAAGTGTCAGACTTTCCGGAACAGTTTCAAAATTTAAGTTGAAAAAGTAAATTTTTTGTGAAAAAGTTGTCATTTTAAATCCCCCCCTGTGGGCAGGTAAAGGGTCAGATATAAAAAAAATATATACCAAATGATAGGTAAAGACAT